GCTGTTCGGACCAATTGTCATGGTAACGGTCCGAGATGGGAAAATATCAGACCGGTAATCAGCCAATCAGAGCGCGCGCACGGTCCAAGTCATATAATATCAAGAAATAATGACCGGTAAAACGTTTTGAAATTACATTAAATCACTGGAGCGTTCTACTGCTGCTGTGAGGACCGTGGGATAATGTAAAATATGTTTTTAATTGTGTGGGATGGACAAATCGAAAATTAGCCTTGGATATAAATGTTATAGTGTTTGACATGTTGTGTGTGTACAGTTGTCCCTATCAAATAAATCAAAAGTAAACATTACAAAACATCAGTACACGTCCCTTTGTTTTGATTTTGTTTCATAATAAGCAGCTGACATACTGAGCACCGCCATATTTCCCATTTCCATTATTTGCTATTACTCTGCAACTTGCCAATTAAACAAAACGAAACCTCAGCCTGCAGCCTTCTCACCACCTCCTCCTCCTCTTCTTCTCACCTCCTCCTCCTCCTCCACTTCCTCCTCCTCATTTGTATGTTTCACCTGTTTCACCGCTGCACTAAGTCTCCTCTAACAGTGGGAAAGTCTGGGGATAGTGGCATCACATCTAAATGCTGATTAGAATCAAAACAACAGCCACATGTTCGCCGTCCCCGCTCCCTCTCCCGCTCCCTCCGCGATCACAGATGAATTTCTTCTGAGATCATTGCTTCATTAGTGCAGCTCTACTTGTTCAGATTGATTTAATTATCAAATCATCTATGGCGACGTGGTGTTGTGTGCGCGTGGGTCCGTGCGGTTGCATGAGTCAGATTATGCAGTGATCTTGGGTGACATTGATCAGCATCGCCTAATTGGGAGCATCTAGCCGTGTAATTGATTCTGCTACACTTCACAACTAGATGAGTTTAGCGACATCAACAGGCCCCAATTCACACCCAGCGACTAAAGAACAATCAAACAGACTTAGCCGAGCCGAAACCGCGCCAAAACGGAAACCACGGCGGACTGTGCGTGGCTTTGAGACGAGCTAATCTGAATGTCTATTAGGAGATTTTCTGAGTGTGTGTGTGTGTGTGTGTGTGTGTGTGTGCGTGCGCGTGTGTGTGTGCGTGTGTGCGTGTGCGTGTGCGTGTGCGTGTGCGTGTGTGTATGTGTGTGTGTGTGTGTGTGTGCGTGCGTGTGTGTGTGCGTGCGTGTGTGTGTGTGTGTGTGTGTGTGTGTTTGTGTGTGTGTGCAAATATCAGTCTGGGGTTTGCGCCGGTTTCAAATGCCAAAAATCGGTGTTTGCCTTAAGGTTTGGTGTGGCCTATATTACGATGGAGTCACTTAGTAATTACCAAAAGATACTGAATGTTAGAAAACAGGATGACGGAGATTTCAATGTTCAAACCCACATTTCTTTGTAATATTATTTAGGAAAAGGCTTATATATTTTGTTTCATGAATTTTGCTTGAATGAGGCTTTGGATGGGTGCAAGTTTGTTAAGTGAAATGTAGTCTTTATTTTGAATGCGTGATAACTTTTGAAGGTTTATATTTGAATGCGCTGGAAACAGCTGCAAGTCCTAAGTCGCTCTGAAACAGTTGTTGTTTTGTGTTTTACAATTTTTATTTTTATTGCTTTTTTCTACCTGAGATGTTGCTGCAGTACAGTGTATATGGTTTTACACTGGTCCAGACCAGAGCACAGAGGATTCATGGTTTTACACTGGTCCAGAGCAGAGAGGATTCATGGTCCGAATCAAGCGGATCAGGCGAAAATCCACTGGAGGAATGCTAACTTTTTGAAAAATGCTATTGAAGCATTTAGTATTTTACTTTAGACCAGAGCAGAGAAAATGGTCCGAATCAAGCGGCTCCACCTCTGCTGCTGGGACCTAAAGTGCTGTTGCATCTCATTATTACAGTTGTTAGCCTTTCAGAATAATCAATTTATTAATTTTGTTTGTGTGGATGGATGTGTTTTTGCTGCTACTGGACACATGAACTTCTCCTGCTGGGATCAATATAGTATCTATCTATCTATCTAATAGAGCATAGAAGGTGCAGACGTTGGCAGGATGTAAACTATAGCAGAACAGAAACAGGATGTAAGTGAGGATGTCAGCTGCAACAATACACGACCAGTTCATTGTTATGGCAGGTGTGTAAAAGTGGAGGAAGATGAGGGTCTGTGGGGGTGAGGAGGGGGGCAGTGTTCATTGAGCAGTCTGACAGCCTGGGGGTAAGGGCTGTTGGCCATTCGGGCTCGGGTTCGGGCAGAGAGTATCCTGTACTTAGGGCAGCAGGAAGTGGAACAGTTGGTGTGCTGGATGTTTCTAGCTCAATCCCAGTAGGTGCATTGCATCTGTAATCAGTGCTAAGGACCTGCTCTATGTGTCCCTTTAAGATTATAAACTGGATTCCATTTCAAGGACTTAAAACAGTGCGGTTGGTTTGCAATCACGCCACATTAAATTCCACAAACACAATTTCACAATATTAACAGACCGATCTAGGTACATGGTTTGAGAAAGGTCAATGCTAATATAATTTCAAACACACACACAAACACGCACACACACACACACACACACACACACACACATACACACACACTAGCACTTAGACAAGACACAGGCTAAAAAACTCTCTGACCCGACATAAAGACACAGGAGGTCAGGAGGTGCTTTCTGTCTGTATTTCAGTCATCTTAAAACACAGACAATTTTTTTCATGAGATCAAGATCCAGAGAATGATTTGTTCCACGGCGGAAAAGATCGAAAAGATCAGCTTCAGGGTCAATACACAATAATAATACGTTGTGTCTTTTTCTCCAGTTCTGATCTTTTGACGTGTTCTGCCACAATGGATGGATGAATACTTGAAAGAGAAAGTGTGATTTTTAAGGTTAAAATGGGCATGGAACCGGTAAAAAGAAAACTGAATTATAATGTATGTTCTCTAATCCAAGGTTTTAAATGGACCCCAAATAGTAAAAGTACATGAAAAATTAACCATCTCCTTTGCCACTAACGGAGCTCGTGGGGAGCAGAGCCACAACATTTTTGCAGTAATAACATTTGCGAAACATTCTTTTTGTTCCGACTTCAATTTCTTGATATTTGGAGCAGAACCAAAACAGATTAATTTACTCTCGCATTCTCCGCCAAACTACAACCAGATAATTCAACGCAAACTCTTGACGTCACCGACACGTCCCTACAATACCCGCCTCCCCCGCTCTCTGATTGGTCGGAGGTAATGGCAACTGAGGAACCTGCAGCCACTAGGATCAGACCCAGACGTACATTTAGGAAATGATCATTAACCAGAGTTTACGGAAGGATAAGGCCAGGCTAGTGTTGCAGGGCATGTGTGTGGCAGGGGGCGTGGCCGGCTTCACCTGTGCTTCACCTGTGCTTCACCTGTGCTTCACCTGTGCTTCTCCTGTGCTTCTCCTGTGCTTCACCTGTGCTTCTCCTGTGCTTCACCTGTGCTCAGGCCCGGACTGGCCATCGGGAGCATCGGGAGATCTCCCGGTGGCCTGCGTGTCAAAGTGGCCTGGGCCTGCCCTATCATCACGGTCTTTTTTTTTTTTTTTTTTTTTTTTTTTTTCTTTTAATTTAATTTCATCCTCACGGTCTTTGCAAACTCCTACCCTGCCTGGTGGCCTGGTCCAATGAGCAAGGGCCAGGCCAAAGCCAGTGTTGTGCGTGAACGAGTTCAAAATAACGCGTTCATTGAACACGCTCATTTTTTCGTGAACGTTGAACTGAACGCAACACATTTTTTAATAAAGAACTTGAACGTGAATTAGTTCATATTATGTGTCATGAACGGCAGACAATTTGTTTTCCATTTAAAACTGAGTGAAATCTGTTTTCTCTTTTGAAACGCAACGAGAGAAAGTTCCTCCCTCCTGTATTCTCCGCACTGTTTCCGCCGAAAACTAAAAATTCCTACGGTTTCCACCGTCTGTGAACGCACCCCGACTCAGGGTACTTCCGGTGCGGCGCTATATGCTAGTGCTATTCATTGGTTGTTGGACTCACATGTGCCGTGATGAAAACACAGGGGTAAGTCAGTGACACAGGGCCGTTTACATTTGACATAAAGTATAGACACACGTTCTGCAGCGCATTACAGTTTGTACTTATGAGCAGAGATGGGACAACTCAGTTCCCATTGAAACCCATGTAAATCTTGTCTGCATTGGAGTCAAAACATCCTGTTCAGTGTACAGGATATAATATATATTATATATATATATATATATATATATATTATATATATACCACGTATTGTGATTTCTAGCTCGTAGTGAAAAAAAATATTTATTTGAATATCTCGCAAAAAGTAAAATGAACTGAAATTTGAACTAGTTCAGAATTAAAATTGAGAACTTCGAACGTGAACTGTTCACTTTGAGCATGTATGAACTGAACTTGAACTTGTTCAGAAAAGCTGTGAACTGGCACAACACTGGCCAAAGCTTTACTGTCATTGGGCCAGAGCAAAATTAAACAAATGTGACGTCACACGTCGGCTACACAGCCAGGCCAGCCTAGCAGTGCACCCAGTGTAGCTTCCCCAGCCTAGCAGTGCACCCAGTGTAGCTTCCCCGGTTGAAATGAGTGGTCTCTCCAACTTATGGTTCATACACGTTTTTATTTTTCCTTTTATATGAGCTGTAACGATGTGATTTTACCTTACTACTTTTTTAACAATAATTGATTAGCTTGTTATAGTTATACACTAATGAACACTTAGTTCATTGTGTGTGTGCGTGTGTGTGTGTGTGTCTTTATTCTCACTAAACTCCATAAACGTTACGTTGCTAAGCAACGTACAACAATCCTTAAACGTCCGAGATTATATAAACAGTCAATATAAAAAAAAAAAAAGAAAACAAAAGTTTTGACAGTCAATCTTAAAACTATTAAAAGAACATCAAAATACAATGACAAAAACCCAAATTTAGAACCTTGTTTGGCCTGAATGGATGAAAAGCTCCCGGCCTGAAATGTTGTCCCACTCCGGCCCTGCCTGTGCTTCTGTGCTTCACCTGTGCTTCGCCTGTGCTTCACCTGTGCTTCTCCTGTGCTTCACCTGTGCTTCTCCTGTGCTTCTCCTGTGCTTCACCTGTGCTTCACCTGTGCTTCTCCTGTGCTTCACCTGTGCTTCTCCTGTGCTTCTCCTGTGCTTCACATGTGCTTCTCCTGTGCTTCACCTGTGCTTCTCCTGTGCTTCACCTGTGCTTCTCCTGTGCTTCTCCTGTGCTTCACATGTGCTTCACCTGTGCTTCTCCTGTGCTTCACATGTGCTTCTCCTGTGCTTCACCTGTGCTTCGCCTGTGCTTCACCTGTGCTTCACCTGTGCTTCGCCTGTGCTTCACCTGTGCTTCACCTGTGCTTCTCCTGTGCTTCACCTGTGCTTCTCCTGTGCTTCTCCTGTGCTTCACCTGTGCTTCTCCTGTGCTTCTCCTGTGCTTCACATGTGCTTCTCCTGTGCTTCACCTGTGCTTCACCTGTGCTTCTCCTGTGCTTCTCCTGTGCTTCACCTGTGCTTCACCTGTGCTTCTCCTGTGCTTCTCCTGTGCTTCACATGTGCTTCTCCTGTGCTTCACCTGTGCTTCTCCTGTGCTTCACCTGTGCTTCTCCTGTGCTTCTCCTGTGCTTCTCCTGTGCTTCACATGTGCTTCTCCTGTGCTTCACCTGTGCTTCACCTGTGCTTCTCCTGTGCTTCACATGTGCTTCTCCTGTGCTTCACCTGTGCTTCGCCTGTGCTTCACCTGTGCTTCACCTGTGCTTCTCCTGTGCTTCACCTGTGCTTCTCCTGTGCTTCTCCTGTGCTTCACCTGTGCTTCTGTGCTTCACCTGTGCTTCTCCTGTGCTTCACCTGTGCTTCACCTGTGCTTCTCCTGTGCTTCACCTGTGCTTCTCCTGTGCTTCTGTGCTTCACATGTGCTTCACCTGTGCTTCTCCTGTGCTTCTCCTGTGCTTCACCTGTGCTTCTCCTGTGCTTCACATGTGCTTCTCCTGTGCTTCACCTGTGCTTCGCCTGTGCTTCGCCTGTGCTTCTCCTGTGCTTCACCTGTGCTTCTCCTGTGCTTCACCTGTGCTTCTCCTGTGCTTCTCCTGTGCTTCACCTGTGCTTCACCTGTGCTTCACCTGTGCTTCTCCTGTGCTTCACCTGTGCTTCACCTGTGCTTCTCCTGTGCTTCACCTGTGCTTCTCCTGTGCTTCTCCTGTGCTTCACCTGTGCTTCTCCTGTGCTTCACCTGTGCTTCTGTGCTTCACCTGTGCTTCTCCTGTGCTTCTGTGCTTCACCTGTGCTTCTGTGCTTCACCTGTGCTTCACCTGTGCTTCTCCTGTGCTTCACATGTGCTTCTCCTGTGCTTCACCTGTGCTTCTCCTGTGCTTCACCTGTGCTTCTCCTGTGCTTCTCCTGTGCTTCACATGTGCTTCACCTGTGCTTCTCCTGTGCTTCACATGTGCTTCTCCTGTGCTTCACCTGTGCTTCGCCTGTGCTTCACCTGTGCTTCACCTGTGCTTCGCCTGTGCTTCACCTGTGCTTCACCTGTGTGCTTCTCCTGTGCTTCACCTGTGCTTCTCCTGTGCTTCACCTGTGCTTCCTGTGCTTCTCCTGTGCTTCTCCTGTGCTTCTCCTGTGCTTCACTGTGCTTCTCCTGTGCTTCACCTGTGCTTCTCCTGTGCTTCTGTGCTTCTCCTGTGCTTCTCCTGTGCTTCTCCTGTGCTTCACCTGTGCTTCACCTGTGCTTCCTGTGCTTCTCCTGTGCTTCACTGTGCTTCTCCTGTGCTTCACCTGTGCTTCTCCTGTGCTTCACCTGTGCTTCTCCTGTGCTTCTCCTGTGCTTCTCCTGTGCTTCACATGTGCTTCTCCTGTGCTTCACCTGTGCTTCACCTGTGCTTCTCCTGTGCTTCACATGTGCTTCTCCTGTGCTTCACCTGTGCTTCGCCTGTGCTTCACCTGTGCTTCACCTGTGCTTCTCCTGTGCTTCACCTGTGCTTCTCCTGTGCTTCTCCTGTGCTTCACCTGTGCTTCTGTGCTTCACCTGTGCTTCTCCTGTGCTTCACCTGTGCTTCACCTGTGCTTCTCCTGTGCTTCACCTGTGCTTCTCCTGTGCTTCTGTGCTTCACATGTGCTTCACCTGTGCTTCTCCTGTGCTTCTCCTGTGCTTCACCTGTGCTTCTCCTGTGCTTCACATGTGCTTCTCCTGTGCTTCACCTGTGCTTCGCCTGTGCTTCGCCTGTGCTTCTCCTGTGCTTCACCTGTGCTTCTCCTGTGCTTCACCTGTGCTTCTCCTGTGCTTCTCCTGTGCTTCACCTGTGCTTCACCTGTGCTTCACCTGTGCTTCTCCTGTGCTTCACCTGTGCTTCACCTGTGCTTCTCCTGTGCTTCACCTGTGCTTCTCCTGTGCTTCTCCTGTGCTTCACCTGTGCTTCTCCTGTGCTTCACCTGTGCTTCTGTGCTTCACCTGTGCTTCTCCTGTGCTTCTGTGCTTCACCTGTGCTTCACCTGTGCTTCTCCTGTGCTTCACATGTGCTTCTCCTGTGCTTCACCTGTGCTTCTCCTGTGCTTCTCCTGTGCTTCACATGTGCTTCTCCTGTGCTTCACCTGTGCTTCGCCTGTGCTTCTCCTGTGCTTCACCTGTGCTTCTCCTGTGCTTCACCTGTGCTTCTCCTGTGCTTCTCCTGTGCTTCACCTGTGCTTCTCCTGTGCTTCACCTGTGCTTCTGTGCTTCACCTGTGCTTCTCCTGTGCTTCTGTGCTTCACCTGTGCTTCTGTGCTTCACCTGTGCTTCTCCTGTGCTTCTCCTGTGCTTCTCCTGTGCTTCACCTGTGCTTCTCCTGTGCTTCTGTGCTTCTCCTGTGCTTCACCTGTGCTTCTCCTGTGCTTCTCCTGTGCTTCACCTGTGCTTCTCCTGTGCTTCTGTGCTTCACCTGTGCTTCACCTCACCCTTCACTCTGCCTCTACACATCAAGATCGGTCTATTCACATCTTCTCTGCCAAATAATTCCCTCTCAGTCGGGAGTGCATCCTGTTCTTTTTTGTTAGTTTACAGTAGTTAGGATACTTTAGTCTTACCTGTGTTTTGATCTGCTTTCACTTTAGTTTACCTTTACCTGCTGCTCCTCCTCTCTATGTCTCATCCCTGCATCTCCAGTCAGCTCTTGGTCTACGCTGCAGCTCAGTCGACCTGCTGCTAGCCTCCATTGCCTGCTCACCTCTCTTGCACAGTAAAAGAAAAATAATCTTCAGCCTCCTACCTCTGCTTTTGGGGTTCAATCCGCAAACTTTAGCAGCAGAACAAGTTTGATGGATTTTAATACATAGTTAAGTTGCTTGTGCTTTGAAAAGATAAAGATAAAGCAGAAGAAAATATATGAATGATACCCCGACTGTTTTGTGTTCTCATTGCCAAAAAAAACCCCATTGTTGTTTGAGTCTTGCATTGTTAAAAAGGAGCCGAGTACATTAAACATCCAGTTAGTGTGTTAATGTAGCATCTAAGTAAACTAATTACCGCAATGAATTGATTTTTAAGGCAGAGCTGAACTCATTTGCATTCGATATTTATCATCGTGACACACAAGGCCAGAGTTTAGGGCAGAGCTGTAGGGGCTGTTTCATCTCAGTGACCAGCAGCCCGGCGCCGTGTGGGTCTGCGTCATGGTAGAAGGAACAGCGCACAGGGAGCACGGCTGTAACTGCATCTTCAAAACACACTCACAGCTTTTGTCCACACTTTCGGAATAAGGAAAAAAAGTCGGTCTCGAACGATTCAAATCAAAACATGTCTTTGAAATGGGGGGAAAAGGTCCTCAGAGTGTTACATGAAACGAGAAGCTGGGACTCGAAAATACACAGTGCGTTTTTCAATGTCAACATAATCCAGCTGATTATATGCAGTCTTATTTTTCTGCTTCTGGATCATTTACACTCAACCTTTTGCTTTCTCTCGGAAAATGAAAGGACTTACAGTGCAGCAATAATATAATCTAGAGCAGGGGTCTCCAACCTGCAGCTCGAGAGTTGACTGCATGATCCTGAATGAATACATTTTGAGTCATTCCATGTCTATTATAAGTATAAACATATCAATTTATAATCTACAGTATTATTTACATCTACATTCTCCATGTTTTGTCCTAATTATCACACAGATCTTAGTTACTACTGCAGAAAGGAGCAGCTCTCTGCCTCTTCTGTTGTATAAAAGTAGCTCTCTGATTGAAAAGGTTGGAGACCCCTGATCTAGATAGATACTTTATTGATCCCCCATAGGAGAAATTCAGATGTCCGCAAAAATAAAAACATAAAATGAGTCATTCTAGAAAGCTAACAATAGTAATAATCAGCAACAGCCCTTCAGGTCACAGCAGCAGAGGTGGAGTAGTCTCTGGGTGGAGCAGGACGGGTCACAGCAGCAGAGGTGGAGTAGCCTCTGGGTGGAGCAGGACGGGTCACAGCAGCAGAGGTGGAGTAGTCTCTGGGTGGAGCAGGACGGGTCACAGCAGCAGAGGTGGAGTAGCCTCTGGGTGGAGCAGGACGGGTCACAGCAGCAGAGGTGGAGTAGCCTCTGGGTGGAGCAGGACGGGTCACAGCAGCAGAGGTGGAGTAGCCTCTGGGTGGAGCAGGACGGGTCACAGCAGCAGAGGTGGAGTAGTCTCTGGGTGGAGCAGGACGGGTCACAGCAGCAGAGGTGGAGTAGCCTCTGGGTGGAGCAGGACAGGTCACAGCAGCAGAGGTGGAGTAGCCTCTGGGTGGAGCAGGACGGGTCACAGCAGCAGAGGTGGAGTAGCCTCTGGGTGGAGCAGGACGGGTCACAGCAGCAGAGGTGGAGTAGCCTCTGGGTGGAGCAGGACGGGTCACAGCAGCAGAGGTGGAGTAGTCTCTGGGTGGAGCAGGACGGGTCACAGCAGCAGAGGTGGAGGAGCCACTTGGTTCAGACCATTCTCTCTGCTCTAGTCCAAAGTAAAATGCTGAATGCTTCTAGAGAAGTCCATCCATCCATTTTCTATCGCTTTATCCGACACCGGGTCACATAAGCAGCCGTCTGGGGAGCGATTACAAACCTTTCCTTTTCTACACCGGACTACTCATCACTTCTCAGTCCGATAATTCTGTCTTAGTCGGTTGTGTATTTCGTTCTGGTCTGTATTTTTATTCTCCTTCACTTACCTGCTGCTCCTCGTCTCTCCAGCTCATCTTGGGGAATCCTGAGGCGTTCCCAGGCCAGCTGAGAGACACGGTCCCTCCGGTGTGTCTTAGGTCTACCCAGGGCCTCTTCCCGACTGGACATGCCACGGAAAAGAATGACCTACCTCAACAGAATGGCCTGGAGCTTGAGGTAGAGCCACTTCCACATTGAGAGAAACCAGCTGAGGACCCTTCCCTGGTTTAGGGCGGCACGGTGGCTGAGTGGACAGCACTCTTGCTTCTCAGTAAGAAGGTCCCGGGTTTGAATCCCGGTCAGAACAAGGAGTGGAGTGGAGTTTGTATGTTCTCCCTGTGTCTGTGTGGATTTCCTCCAGGTGCTCCGGTTTCCCCTACCACTAAAAACATGCACAATAGGTATGAATGGTAATGAGAGAGTGAATGGAGGGTGTTTGGTCGGGGGCTTTGATGGTCCAGTGTGATCTGCAACTCACTTCCGTCATCACCGTGTGGAGAGAATGGAAAACTATCTGAACTTTGAACAACTGTAAAGCGCTTTGTGTGACCTTGGTCTGTAAAATGTGCAACATAAATAAAAATTACTTTCTAACTTACTTAAGAAGAGAGATTTTAGTGGCTCTCTTTTAAGGCTCGTCTCCAGGTTGTTGCTGAAAATATAGGCTATCCAACATAAAAGCAGAGGTGTCAAAAGTACCAGTGTTCAGTACTTAAGTAAAAGTACTAATACTTGTGCAAAAAACTACTCTGGTAAAAGTAAAAGTACTGCACCCTCTGCCTTACTTAAGTAAAAGTAAAAAAGTACATACTCTTAGATGTACTTAAGTAAAAAAGTAAAAAGTAAATCAATATTTTTCCTCTTAAAAAAAAAAAAAAAAAAAAAAAACTTGTTTTGACCTTCAAATTCTTTATTCTTTTACTCAGACTCAACTCAGAGTACTGCTGCACCGAACAAAATAAATGTCACTTTGTGTGAAATTAAATGCACATCCGACAATGTAGTGATACCCGTAAGATCATTCAAGAGCGCCTGCAGAATGTGGAATTTTCATCATTCCTATAACTTAAACTACAAACTGTAAAAGTGCAAGAAAAACAAAGTGCAAAAACATCCCAAATAACTTGGAGCTTATAGTATGACCAAACTATACAATGGGAAAATGGAACCATCCCGATATATAAGGGGAAAAGCAAACTACCAACATTTTTGATTTAGCTTCAACAGAAGCATGTTTTCAAGGTTTTGTGAATGGATGCGTGCCCTTTTGGGTCGGAAAATGAGTCCTGCTGTGCTGAAGAGCCTTTCACAGGCAGCAGAAGCAGGTAGTGGAGTGTTCAGTTGTAGTGAAAGGTTCAGGACTGCAGGAAATGACTTCAAGATTTCCATGGTGTCATTGGGACAGGCCAGGTATGACTCAAGCTGTTTGGTGTTTTCTTGCAAGTTCCCTTGCTTGATAGGTGAAAAAAAGTCATCTTCCTCTGAAGAAGGCGTGGAGTCACTGACAGTCACAGGTAGCTCTTTGAGATGGCTTTTGATGTAGTCAAGGCCTATCAAAAACACAGTGCAAATACAGCAATATTAGTACACCTAATACATTTTTGCATTAACCATTCAAATACATGTCTCTTAAGTAAATATAACAGATCAATGCACAAAAAAATAAAAAAAATAAAAATACACACCGAGTTGTAGAAGGCCCTCATCTGTGGTCCAGCATCTTCTGAATTTGGGCACCAGAATGGAAGCTGCAATGAGCTCAGGATCCTTGAGCATCTCACCAAAGCGCTTCTGAAGTCCAGATTGAAGAGCATCTATGAGCGGCACACAGCACTTGGAGGAGAGTCGAAGGTGTTGTAGTTTAGTCTTGAGAAGAGTAATAGTGGGAATGAGCCAACCCATCTGCACATTGGTCTCTCCTTGCAACAGGACACATTATCTTGACATATTCACTGAGAAAGGCAATCTCAGCAGGAGAGAACCTGAATAAAAAAAATTAAATAATAATGATAAAACATCAGTGGCAACTAAAGAGAAACAAGCACAAACTGCATTACACATTTTAAACTGTATGTTACATGATTATTAAACTTAATATAATATAAATATCATAAAAGTTACTCACATGGGCAATTTAAGTGTAGTACACACAGCTGTGATGGCTCCTTCTCCTTGTTCTCTCATGATTCTTATTATTCTCTCAACAGCCAGGTACATGGAATTCCACCTTGTGTCATTGGGCCTCAGGAGCTGGAGTTTACATTTTTCCTCAATGATTTCAGCCGCAGCAGTAGATCTCCCACTTTTATTCCACAGGCCCCAGCATTTTGAAAAGGCTGACCGGGAAAGTCGTTTGTACGTTGCATTTGCATTGGCATCTGAAACGTCAACAGTTGACACCAGGTTGAGAAGGTGGCAGGCACAGCGATGGTGCTTGGGAAGTTGGTATTCAAGGCCATCATCTTCGTTCAATAATGTTGTTGCTTCAATGAAGTTTATATTTCCCTCCTGTTCTCTTTCCTCACATTCACTGTTTTCACTTGCATCCGATTCACTTTGCCTTTCCTGGTTATTATTTTCCTCCCCCTCTCCATACACCCGGAAAGCTTTGATGAAATTTGACCCATTGTCTGTTGTGCGTACAATTTTGTCCCGAATGTTGAATTCTGTGTGAATGTCATTCAGTGCTCGAGCTAGGCTGTCAAATGTGTGTGAACCTCTTAACTGTTTGCATGCCAGTGCTACAGAGCATCTAGTCATAGTTTCTGTCTCAATCCAATGTGCAGTGACTCCAAGAAAACTTCTCCTGTGTGCGGTCCAACAATCAGTTGTAGTTGCAATGAACTCAACCTCATTCATAGCAGCTTTAAGATTTTTCTTCATTTCTACTGTAGCTTTTTCGACCCTGTTTATCATTGTGCCCCGGGACATTATTGTCACATCTGGTTGCAGGTGATTGATCATAGCTTTGAAACCCTGCTGCTCGACAATGCTGCCTGGGTGCAGACCTTGAATGACAAAGTTCAAAATGAATTCATCCACACTCTTCTGTGAGACCCTCTTGACATCCCACAATTTAAGCTGTTTGGATGAGCCTTCATCAGATGTGGACGACTTCCTTTTCAATAGAGCTGCAGTGAGATTTTTGTATCTCTCCAAATGATTGGCATGTTTCCTCTGTTTGCAAACAAAATATAAAAACAGATCAGCTCAAATGTATTCCTTGCATTAAAATAATACAAGCATATATTCGTAACACTGAGTTACTATACAACACAAAGTGTTGTATTGTAAAGTGTTGATAGTTAATCAACAGCTTGATTTGAACTGGGCAATAACACGATGAGATTTTAAACATATTTCCACAGCCAAAACGAGACTTAAAAAAATAAAATAAAATCTAAATGTGTGGCTACTTTTATGGTTATGATTTGGGAGTGGGAGAATAAATGTGTAAAATGTGTAAATCGTATCAATGCAAACGTGACATGAGTTACAGCTAGTGCGGCAGACCAGAAGCTAGCACCACTTTCTTGCAAACTAATAGTGCCCCCAAAGCATTACTAACACACTTATATATTTTTAAAACCTCCAGAATTAATCAAATGTAGCCTATACTAGTAACAACAATACGAAATCTAAATAACAAACCTGAATGTGCTTCTTCAGATTGGACGGTGAATTCTTGAATGCCAAAAGTTCGTGTTTTTTGGGCAAGCACAGGTTGCACTGCATCCGCCACGAATCATTCTTATAGCCAACAACAACGAAAAGTTCTTTCAGGTAAGGCCATGGGTGCCGTGTTTCTTGTCTTTCGGTGTCTGCGGAATCATCCTCGATGACGCTGTCCTGCTCACTTTCCTCCATACCGACTCATTCACAGTCACAAGTTAAAAACACGGCGTGACTATCCATGTGCTTGACTAGCTTGCGTCCTCTAGCTTCCTGTTTTGATTTTATTTTTATTAGCTTCCTCTTTTTCAGCGCTGGTTGGCCCGGGTTTTTACGTTGTGTTGTCGCTCAACTTTGGAGATTTTAAAAGTAACGACCTGATTTTTTAAAATGTAAGGAGTAGAAAGTACAGATACTTGTGTTTTAAAAGTAAGGAGTAAAAGTAAAAAGTCGCAACAACAAAAAATACTCAAGTAAAGTACAGATACCTGCAAAATCTACTTAAGTAGATTCCCACCTCTGCATAAAAGGCATTATGAACAAACACAATTATATAGATGGCAAATATATCATCTTTTGACCTTAACTGTATATTCAATTAACACAGAGAAGATGATCCCAAGGTTTTATCAACAGAAAAATAACATTATAACGAAAGCACACCAAAGACCATATAAAGTTCACGAATTGAAGGTGACGAACACTTTCTAACTCGTGAAAGGAATCCAATACAAAGCCATAACCTCTATTAGTCAGACGCATGAGGCAGGGCGCATTGAAGTGGTTGCATTTAACAGCTGCTTTTGAACTAAACAAACCAGTGATCGTGTCCTCCTTGCTGTCCGAGCGATTGCCTCATCGCCAATGATTTCCAGCGCTCTAACTTTCTGATGTGTCACTCCCGGCATTTGGAACCAGATCAAACTCAAAAACATCAAGAAAGCACGGGCCAAGTCAAGTGTAAAAACGACCACAATCCCAGCTATCGTTTGGATCACCCCCACGGCGTTGGACCGCGGCTGACAGTTTGTGAACAGGCATTAGAAAGGTGCATTTGGACTCGAGCTTACACAGAGGAATGACGCACTCTGCTTTCTTCTCTCCCTCTGTGCCGCTTCAGACAGTTTGTTGGAGGAACTCAGTGCAGCGAGGACAGAAAATGCCTTTTCATGCGGCTGCCATCTCTCTGCACCTGGTCAATTTGAATGAAAAATGGCCTGGGCAGGAGCTAAGTACACTGGCAGGTCAGCATATCCAGAGGAAATGGTGTTTAGGTAGTGCCAGGATTAGTCATGCTCCCGTGCCTCTTGCCTCACACCGGGCCGGGACACACCTGCTTCCATCTGGACGCTCCCCCGATACCAAACCAGCAGAGAATTTCAGAATGTAAATGTTTTCTCAATGCAGTTTCACGTGTAAATTCCTGAGTCGTGACAATTGTGGAAAAGCAATGTTACGAACTCATAGTATCATGTAATCTTATCTGCTTTATCCTGATGTTATGGAGATTATTATTGGTGTCTATATCAGATAATTCAAACTAGTACATTTCAATCTGTGCTGAAAAGTGACGAAATAGATTTTTTTTTAGATTCAAATGGAAACAGAATTACTAACCACAAACCAGACTGTTAAGCTTTATGGTTAGTCCTGTTGTCCAACGTGACCAATATGTTAGAGTTATAGAGGAAGCCGGAACACCTGGAGGAAACCTATACGTAGGACATGGGGAAAATTTGAATCTATTTTTTTATTTTTTTATTGCCATGTTTGTAACAGGAAGTCACAGACAAGAAAATTGCTTTGGCTCTCGGTGCAAGCAAGTCAAAAGTAGAGAATAGAGTGAGGCATACTAAAAATCTTCATACATTTCTAAAATATAAATATTACAATCATGACAAAGTGCTCTCGGTGCACACAATAGACATTAAGCAGTGCAGTACGGTGATGGAAAACTCAACTCAGTAAGCCCCCTGACCCGGTATAGATCCCATACTCAGCCTCTGTGCCAGCGTTTCACAAATATACATATATATATATACCTGTGGGTCAGGTGAAGAAACTATGAAGGACAATACTGTGGAACCAGAGGGACGCTGAAACCAGAGGGACGCTGTGACCATAACACGCTGCTCTTTCCTATACAGTTGTCCTTGTAAAAAAACATGCTTGAAAATGTGCACTAAGCCCCAGATGGATGATTGTCTCCATCATAACGTGGTTCCCTGGTCCTGGATCCATCGTACTGTGACTTTACAAGACTGGCTTTTTTCTCTGGGATGAGCGACTGTCTTCTTCAGATGCTCTCCCTCCTCTCTGGTGTCGGAAGTCTGCCTCGACCTTCACATTGGAGCACATTCATGTCTTCCCTGCGGTGTGAAGCTGACACGGGTCCAAACAACACATCAACCGTTCCCACCGTGGTCAACAGGTCATTTCAACACAAACAATACTGGGAAAAATAATGAAAACATGTAAAATAGCTCCAAATACATTCATCAACCATTTGGTTTGGAGTCAATATATCTGCTTGAAGCTTGGAACTGAAATATACCTCTTTGGGGCGTCTCACTTGGTTTTTAGGCACTTTTACCATCAAACTGCATCTCACCCATTTGGTAAAGGGTGAAATAGTAAAAAAACAAACAATTATTCAATCCAAAAAACACAAGACTGCATGCTTTCTTCAAGGAGTGAATGTAAAAGAGTTAAGTGTATATGAGATTGGAAAAGAATGTTGTCATAAATAGATTAATAGTTTAAATGAGGTGCCATTTATCTGACGGAAAACATCTTGTCATTTCATATTTTTTTCATATTTTTCATCGACAGAACCGAGAGCGATCGGGAGAGAGGAACATCCAACACTCCTGGAAAACTACACAACTCTCAGACCAGCTGCAACGGCGAGCACCAACAGCACACACTTGCATTTTCAAACACATTTTTACAACCCAAGTTTGCATAAAACCCCAGTGCGCGCCGCTTTTCGCAAAAAAATCACCGGCAGCCATAAATCACCGTGCTCTTAATAGATGCACAAACACAACGGCACCCTCGACGCCCGCCACGGTTGTTGTATGGACTCCGCCGGCTTGGAAAAAGTAACTGTTGCCGTGTGGAAGTATCGTAATCAGGCGGTGGGCAGACACACGCCGTTATTAAAGCAGGGCGTAGCAGAGGATAAATGGACAAGAGTTAGAGCGGAGTGATATTAAACACAAGGGAGCTAACGGCGCACATTCACTGCCCACACTCAGCGCACCCCCGCACCACTTTCCACCCCTCACCGCTGCCTCCCACCTCCACTAATTAGCCCCAAATCCTCTTATACCTTCTCCCCGCACCCTCATCCTCAGCCAAAAAAAAAGCCAGGTTGACCTTAATGAACAGATGAGGAGCAGAGCATCGCGGGAGTCGATAGCGTGAAAAGGCTGCGTCAGCGTTTTCGGGCCTCTGTTTGTTTACTGCGCACTCCCCCGCGATGGAGTGGAGGAAACTTGTCTTTTTCTTCTTTTACACATCTGTGGTAAAAAAGAGAGGAGGGGGGGGGGGGGGGGGGGTGTGTGAGTGTTTGAGGTGATTGCAGGAGAGGGCGTCGGAAAGGGAGTTGCCTGATGTCTGTCGCGGGTGTAGCCGGAGTTGACAAGTGTGTAAAAAGTGCGCTGGGAGGCGGCGGAGTAGTTCAAGTTTGAGGGAAAAGTGAAGCTGTTGGAGATTAGAGAAGACAAGGAAGTTGAGTGGAGGTTTTGTTATGAAGCTTTGATTATAATGAATTTATAATGACTATTTGTGTGATTGAACACAGAAGCTTTCAGTGTCCACAAAGCCGACACGAGAAAACAACTCGCCATTCAACCCATCCCATGAGGAAGTCTTTTTGCCAAATATAGGGTAAATTAAACATAAATTAAACCAAAACTGTTTCCTTGCCCGTTGCTTACATGTTGATCAAGTGAAGAAGGTCATAAAAGTAGTACGTTATTGAGCTGTATACAGATAAATTGTCCATATAGATGTTAAACAACAGGGGGGACATCACACTGCCCTGGACGGACTCCATTGCTGACCTTGACTGAGTCTGACACTGACCCACCCCACTTCACCCGCATACTTTGTGAGTACCAAAATATGAGGGCCCTAAAAAGGTAGCCAGAAACACCTCTATCAGACAACTTCCTGAAAAGCCTCTCATAGTTTATTCTATCGAAGGCTTTGGATACATCTAAGGTGATCATTGTGGAACCTTGACTATGGTACTTGTCCAGGATTTCATGCTCTTGTTTGAATCTGATCTGGTTTGCAGCTGTTTAAAATTATGGTTCAAGTCTGTACAAAATAATCTTCTCAAAAACCTTGGCTACAGAACTGACCGAGGGAATATAGTAATAGTAATAAACCCCATGCACTGTTTTTTCCTTTATAAAGTTGTCCACGTAAAAAAACATGTTTGAAATTGTTTACATTGCTCCACATGGATGATACGCCAAAGTCCAGTGTCTCTCAATTATTCTCTGGAATTATTTTAGGAACATTTCACGCCCCCCTGTCACATCTTCAGATCAGCTCTCAGCCCAAAGAGTTTGTTGACGGCCTGTTGTGGCAGGATTTGTTCCCAGCGTTTCACTTTTGGCCACAAACTTTGGGCAGAACCAGCATGCATTATTAAAAAGATAGATGGATAGATGCTTTAGTGATCCCTGTAGGAGAAATTCATGTGTCCAGTAGCAGCAAAAACACATCCACCCACACAAACAAAACAAATAAATTGATTATTCAAAAACGGTAAAAATAGTAATAATAAAAAGCAACAGCACTTTAGGTCCCAGCAGCAGAGGTGGAGCTGCTTGGTTCGGACCATTTTCTCTGCTCTGGTCCATGGTAAAATGCTTAAGAGTTAGCATTCCTCCAGTGGATTATCACCTGATCCGCTTGGTTCGGACCATGAATCCTCTCTGCTCCGGTCTGGACCAGTGTAAAACCATGAACACTGAACTGCAGTAACATTTACAGGTAGATAAAAGCAAGAAAAATAACAATTGTAAAACTCAAAACAACAACTGTTTCAGAGCTACTTGGGACTTGCTGTCGTTTCCAGCGCATTCAAAAGTTAACGGTAGAAATAAGAGGGAAGAAATAGACCCTAGCTGGGATTTAGTGAGTTTTAAGATGATTAAAGGACTTTGAGGTGTTCC